CTTATTTATACAGGGGTGATTATATGCAGTGGTGATTTTTTATGCAGTGGTGACTTATTTATACAGTGGTGATTATTTATGCAGTGGAGCTTATTTATGCAGATGGTGATATTTTGCAGTGGTGAATATTTATACAGTGGTGATATTTTACAGTGGTGATTATTATGCCGTGGTGAATTATTTATACCGTTGGTGGGATATTAATTTATGCCGTTGTGATTCTTTATACAGTGGTGATTATTTATACAGAGTGGGGAATATTTATACAGTGGTGATTATTTGAACAGTGGTGATTAGTTAGCAGTGTGATTATTCTACGTGGTATTATTATGGCAGTGGTTGGCGATGTATGCAGTGGTGATCTTAGTTATACAGTGGTGAATTATTTATGCAGTGGGACTAGTTATGCGGGGTGATTATTTATACGTGGTTGGATTATTTATACAGTGTGATTATCTATACAGTGGTGAATTAATGCAGTGGTTGATTATTTGCAGTGGTCGATTATTTATGCAGTGGTGTGAGTATTTCTGCAGTGGTGATTATTATGCAGGGGCGAGTATTTATTAAAGTGGTTTGAGTATTATCCAGTGGTTGATTATTTAGCAGTGTGACTATTTATGCAGTGGCGTTATTTATACAGTGGTGATTAATTATACAGTGGTGACTTTCTATGCAGTGTTATTATTTATGCAGTGGTGCATTATTTTACAGTGGTGATTATATGCAGTGGTGATTATTATTGCCAGTGGTGGATTATTATACAGTGGTCATTACTTTCTACAGTGGTGACTATTTGGATGAGTGGTGTATTATGTATGCAGTGGGTGATTATTTATACAGTGGTGATTATTTATACAGTGGTGACTATTTTACAGTGGTGATTTATTATGCAGTGGTGTTATTTTTTTTAGGCAGTGGTTGACTATTTATGCAGTGGTGATTATTTATGGCAGTGGTTGATTATTATAAGTGGTGATATTATGCAGTGTGATATTTATACGTCGGTGATTATTTATACAGTGGTGTGATGTTTATGCAGTGGTGATTATGTTATGCAGTGGTGCTATTTATCCAGTGGTGATTATTTATACAGTGGTGATTGTTTATGCAGTGGTGACTATTTAGGCAGTGGGGACTATTTATACAGTTTGTGATTATTATTACATAAGGTGATTATTTTACAGTGGTGATATTTATGCGAGGTGAATATTATGGCAGTGGTGATTATTTATACAGTGGTGATTATTTTATACAGTGGTGAATATTATGAAGTGGTTGATTATTTATGAGTGGTGATTATTATTACAGTGGTGTTATTTAGACAGATGGTGATTATTTTTACAAGTGGTGATTATTGTCAGTTGGTGATTATTGATACAGTGGTGATCTGTTATACAGTGGTGGTGATTATTTTACAGTGGTTGATTATTATCTGTGGGTGATTTATTATTATGCAGTGGTGGACTATATTTACAGTGGTGTTATAGATACAGTGGTGATTATTATACAATGTGATATTTATGCAGTGGTTGATTATTTATACAGTGGTGATTTGATTATTTACAGTGGGTGATTATTTTAACATGGTGATTATTTATGCAGTGGTGAGTATTGCTTACAGTGGTGATTATTTATGCAGTGGTGAATATTTATACAGTGGTGATTATGGTACAGTGGTGATTTTATGCATTGGTGATTATTTCTACAGTTGGTGATTATTTATGAGTGGTGCCTATTTATGCCGTGGTGATTTATTTATGCAGGGTGCTTATTTATACCGTGGCGATTATTTAGACAGTATGTGTGAGATTGATTACAGTGGTGATTGTTTATGGCATGGTGATATTTATGCAGTGGTGATATTTTATTCCAGTGGTGATTATTGATACAGTGGTGATATTTTACAGTGGGATTAGTATGCAAGAGGTGACTATTTATGCCGTGGTTGAGTATATACATTGGTTGTGATATTTATACGTGGTGATTATGTGATGCCGTGGTGATTATTTATGCAGGGTGATTGATTTATTACAGTGGTGATGATTTATACAGTGGTGATTATTTTTACAGTGGTGATTATTTTTACAGTGGTTGATTATTTATTACAAGTGGTGATATTTACAGTGGTGATTATTAGTGAAGTGGTGATTTATTATAAACGTGGGATTCTTTAGACAGTGGTGATTATTTATGCAGTCGGTGATTATTATTACCAGTGGTGATTATTTATACCGGTGCGGTGAGTATTTATTACAGTGGTGATTATTGAGCAGTGGTGATTTTTATCAGTGGTGACTATTTATACAGTGGTTAATATTTATACAGTGGAATATTTATACAGTGGTGATTATTTTACAGTGGTGGACGATTTAGGCAGTGGTGATATTTATGCAGTGGTGATTATTTATACAGTGGTTGGGTGAGTAGTTATGCAGTTGTGATATTTATCAGTGGTGATTATTTATACAGTGGTGATTATTTAGTACAGTGGCGATTATTATTACAGTGCGTGATTATTTTTTACAGTGGTTGATGTTTTTTTATGCAGTGGTGATTAGTTAATGGAGTGGTGACTCTTGATACAGTGGTGCTATTTATACAGTGGTGGATTATTTACAGTGGTGAGTATTTTATGCAGTGGTGAGTATTTATGCAGTGGTGATTATTTATCCAGTGGTGATGAGTTATGCAGTTGTGGATTATTTAGACAGTGGTTGATATTTATTACCAGTGGTGATTGTTTATGCGTGGGGATTATTTAACAGTGGGACTATTTATAAGTGGTGATTATTTATACAGTGGTGATTATTTTACAGTGGTGATTATTTAGGAAGAGGTAGACTATTTATGCAGTGGTGATTTTTATACAGTGGTGATTATTTATAAAGTGGTGATTATTATGCAGTGGTGATTATTTATGACAGTGATGATTATGTATACAGTGGTGATCATTTTTACAGTGGTGGAGTATTTTGACAGTGGTGATTATTTATACGTGGTATTATTTATACAGGGGTGATTTATTTATGCCAGTGGTGATTATTTGCAGTGGTGTTATTTTATACAGTGGTGATTATTAGCAGTGGTTGATTATTTATACAGGTGGTGATTATTTATACAGTGGTGATATGATACAGTGGTGTTATTTAGCAGTGGTGATTATTTATAAATGGCAATATTATACAGTGGGTGATATTTATGCAAAAAAAAAACAAAAAAAAAAAAAAAAAAAAACAACAAAAAAGGGGGGTGGGGGGGGGGGGGGGGGGGGGGGGGGTGGGGGGGGGGGGGGGGGGGGGGGGGGCGGGGGGGGGGGTGGTGGGGGGGGGTGGGGGGGGGGGGGGTCTTGTTTGTCTGTTTTTTTGTTTTTTGTTGGTTTTTCGTGTGTTTTTTTTTTTGTTTTTTCCTTTTTTTTTTTTTTTTTGTTTTTTGTTTTGGTGATTCTTTATTTACAGTGGTGATTAGTTATACAAGTGAGTGACCTATGTCTACAGTGGTGGATTATTATTGCAGTGGTGATATTTATACAGTGGTGATTATTTTTATGCAGTCGGTGATTATTATACAGTTGGTGATATTATGCAGTGGTGTTATTATCCAGTGGTGTTATTTATGACAGTGGTGATTATTATACAGTGTGATTATTTATGCAGTGGTGAATTTCTGAATAGTGGCAATTATTTATTCATGGTGAGTTATTTAGCAGTGGTGATTATTTATACGTGGTGATTATTATACAGTGGTGATTAGTATACAGTGGTGATTCTTTCTGCAGTGTGACTATTTTCAGTGGTGTTATTTATCAGTGGTGATTATTTATACAATTGGATTATTTTATGCAGTGGTGATTATTTATACAGTGGTGGTATTATTGCAGTGGTGATTATTTATACAGTGGTGATTATTTATGCAGGGTGATGATTATACAGTGGTGATTATTTATACAGTGGTTGATTATTTATACGTGGTGATTATTTATAAGTGGGCTAGTTATCAGTGGTGACTATTTACAGTGGTGATTATTTATACAGTGGGTGATATTTATGCAGTGGTGGATTATTTATAACAGTGGTGATTATTTATGCAGTGGTGATCTAGTTATTACAGTGGCGATTATTTAACAGTGGGGTGATATTTATGCAGTGGTGCTTATTTATACAGTGGTGATTATGTTAGGGTGGTGATATTTATGCAGTGGTGATTATTTATGCAGTGGTGATTATTTATACAGTGGTGATTAATTTATACAGTGGGTGATTATTATACAGTGGTGGAGTGGTGATGATTTATACAGTGGTGATTTATTTATACAGTGGTGCTATTTTACAGTGGTGCTTATTTATACAGTGGTGATTATTTCTTACGTTGGGGAGTATTTATTACCGTGGTGATTATTATACAGTGAGTGATTATTTATACAGTGGTGATATTATGCAGTGGTGATTATTTCTACCGTGGTGATTAATTATACAGTGGTGACTATTTATGCTAGTGGTGATTATTTATACAGTGGTGAGTATTTATGCAGTGGTGTTATTTATGCAGTAGGTGATTATTTATACAGTGTGATTATTTATGACAGTGGGATTATTTTACAGTGTGATTATTTTATATGCAGTGGGTGATTATTTATAGTGGTTGATTATTACACAGTGGTGATTATTTATACAGTGGTGTTATTTATGCAGTGGTGAGACTATTTAATTCAGTGTGAGTCTATTTATGCAGTGGTGATTTTGTATACAGTGGGATTATTTCTGCAGTGTGTGACTATTTATGCAGTGGTGACTATTTATACAGTAAATAGTGTGAATTTTGTTACACTGGTGCAGTATAATTTTTTTTTGGGGGGGGGACCATTTTCTTGTTCCATGTACGCCAAATGATAGTTAGTTAATAACTAGAAAAACTGTGGTAAAATGATCAATTTAGCCATGCATAAGTCTATCAAGAAATTAACCATTCATAATTGCATTGTTTTGTACTCCTGACATACCCCCAGCATGTTCCAAGACCAGCTGGCAGTGAAGGTCCGGCCTTTCATAGACTAATAGATGGACATGAGATCCATAGGGATAGATAAGGAGCTGCCACTGCCAACCATTGCTGTGGTGGGAGACCAGAGTTCAGGAAAGAGCTCTGTGCTTGAGACCCTTTCTGGGGTGGCGCTGCCCAGAGGGACTGGTGAGATTCTGTATTGTTTCCTGAATATACAAAAAAACAATTGAAATCTATATTAGCATTTTAAATGTCACGCCCAAATCACCCAAAGTCTCTGAAAGTGGTTGTTTAACTTAGACTTGATTTGGGCATTGACTAGTTTTTGGTTTGAAAATGCTGAAGTTGGCGATTTAGGACACTGGCAAGGTAAACAACCCTGAAGCAGGTTTTCACACTATCCTTGTCCATAGACAAGGTCAGGAAATATATACAGTACAATAGGACCACAGAGACACGGACATTGCTGAAATGTTTAGAATATTCAAATTAACTTGATAACCGCAGCAAACCTGTTAAATGCGTATTTACTGTACATGAGTTTTCTAACCATTTAGTGACACTGTAAATGTCTGACATGCTTTTAGATCATTAGAGCAACCTTGGTGTGTATGTAGCCTGCAGAAATGATATATTTATCATGCAATTCGTGTCCCGGTCCGTTATTGACTGTACTGTCATATTGTATTGTATTGATTGTTCTGTTATACAGTATAATGATCTGTCATTGGTACTTCCTTGTTTACAGGTATTGTCACCAGGTGCCCACTGCTACTTAAACTGTGTAATGACAGGTCAGTGAGATGGAAGGCTGTCATCTCATACGGAGGCAAATTCAGTTCTGATTTTGACGATCCCTCAGAAGTCGTGAGACACGTTGAACAAGGTCAGATGGGAACGAACACACACACACACACGCACACACACACACACACACATTATTTTATACTGTATATTAACCAGTGGAGGCTCCTCAGAGGAGGAATGGGAGGACATTGACTTCAATACAAAACCTAGGGGGCTCATGGTTCTCACCCACTTCCATAGACTTACAAAGCAATTTTGACAACTTCCGGAGGACGTCCTCCAACCTATCAGAGCTCTTGCAACATGAACTAACATGTTGTCCACCCAATTAAAGGATCAGAGAATTAATCTAGAACTGAAAGCATAAGCTACAGCTAGCTAGCACTGCTATACATAAAATGTGGTGAGTAGTTGACTAGAAGAGAGAAAAACAATAGTTGAACAGTTTGCAACAAATTAATTTCTTCAGAAATTAAGGAGAAAACTATCTACATTTCATTTTTACTTACTTAACTAGCTAATTCAGCTAGCTATTTATTTAATTTTTTGTCATTTAGCAGACGCTCTTATCCAGAGCGACATACAGGATCAATTAGGGTTAAATGCCTTGCTCAAGGGCACATCGGCAGTATTTTCACCTAGTCGGCTCGGGGATTAGAACCAGCGACCTTTTGGTTACTGGCACAGCACTCTTAACCACTAAGCTACCTGCCGCTTTAGTGTAGCCTACTCAAACACCAGGCTCAAACAGAGAGGGATGCTATGTTAGCTAGCTGGCTATGGCTATCCAACACAGGAACTCTTCCAAGTCAAGGTAAGCTTTTTTGTTTAATTCGTTTTTAGCCACTGTCTCTGAAACACTGCCTGTGTCACTGCTAAACTGCTTGCTGCTGACTGAAAACTGGACTGCATCATTGTAGCAGCTGATGTGTTGTGCCCCTAAGTCTACAAGCGAAGGGAAAAGGTGAGAGGTGGAGAGTGCGTATATGGGAGAAGGAATTATCCATACAATGATCAAAGGGATCATGCTGTTTGTATTTTGCTGCTATGAAAGTGAACTGTGATTGCGTGTGATCAGGGGTGTATTCATTCCACCAATTATGTTGAAAAATGTTTCTTAAACGGAATCAAACGGATTGAAAAAGGGACAAACATACCTGAATTTGTCCAATAGAAACTCTCGTTTGCAACTGTTGGACTAATGATTACACCCTAGATCAGTTAGATGCAGGCAAGAGTGTGCAAGGCGGTATTGAATGTGTCAATGTCTGTCACCTTGATTACAAAAACGTCTCTCGACTTATGTTGTAAACTTTCATTTGTAGGCTAGGTTGTAGCAACCTCACGATGGGTATAGGGAAACTTAGAGTATGATATAGTAGCCTAAACCTATCGATGTGACATTGAGCTGGGTGAATGGAATACGAATGTCAGTCATCCAATATGCTGTAATAGAAATAAGGCCTTGCTCATTAAAAAAATAAAAATATTCTCCCTTATCTTAAACGGCCCCCGACCGCCACTGACATTGACATATCTATTCTTTTTTTTGGTGGAAAAGTTGATATGGTATTTACCATAGACAACTACAGAATACATTATACATAATAATAAGAGTTCTGTTGGGGTATAAATCAGTTAATAAACTCATCTGTTTTTTCATCAATATTTGAATTGATTTAACAGCTCAGAACACGTTAGCTGGAAAGGGAGTGGGGATATGTGAAGACCTGATCACTCTACAGATCACATCCTCCACGGTGTGTGATCTCAGTCTGATTGACCTACCTGGGATCACCAGGGTAGCTGTGAAAGGACAACCAGATGACATTGGAGCCCAAGTAAGTCTAACGTTAAGAGTGTATAGCTTTTGGACTTTTGTCCAGTACATTGCTTGGTTATCTCATGGCTATTGGTTCTCATCTCATGATACACTAATGATGAATTGTTTTAGCCGGGTGTAAAGAATTTTTACCATAATTGCTAGAAAGGTAGCTATGATGGTTGAAGCTGGTGAAAGGTACTTTGAATGTGTTGGCTTTGAAGAAGGTTAAGCTTCAGAACCATGAAAAACAGAGTGCCCCACACAGGGCTATATCACGGTAACAAGCGGTCGGCTACCCTCTTGTGGATTAATCAAATAACTCGGTCAAAGGCTTGCATCCTGACTGTCTGTCACATTCTTCTTCCTTTTTTTGCTAGATCAATAATCTCATTACAAAATACATCAAGAATAAGAGAACCATTATTTTGGTGGTGGTACCATGTAATGTTGACATAGCAACAACAGAGGCCCTGAAAATGGCACAAGAAGTGGATCCTGAAGGCACAAGAACTCTGGGTAAAGAAATTATATAGATACATGTATTTTTTTATAGGGTTTATGTATTAGCAGTTATCATCATGCTTTTCATTTGTCTTCAAGCCATTCTGACAAAGCCAGACCTGATAGACCCGGGAGCAGAGAAGAATGTGTTGGAAATTGTCCACAATAGAGTCATCGTTCTCAATATGGGCTATGTCATTGTGAAATGTCGTGGTCAGAAGCAAATTGATGAAAACATGTCCATAGCTCGTGCGATTGAGGATGAATTGGAATTCTTCCAAAATCATGAACACTTCAGGTAAAATGTGTTCTTGCCATGTGTTAAGTGAACTAGCATCTTTGTTTTTGATGGCTTCACATCTGAAAATGTTCAGGGCCACAAACTGTATGTTTCAGGATTTTATGAAAAGTATATTTTCCCACATATCCACTGAGAGTAGTTCCATATAGTATTGATGAATGGTATTTTCTTCTGAGTCCCAGGCCTTTTTATTGCTCACTCACCTCCCTTCTCTTACATTTCTACATATAGTACTTTTTAACATTCAAAATCAAATAGCTAAATGATCCTTTGTGTGATCATCTTTAAACAATTCCACAAGTTAATTTAGCTCATGCACATATCTCAAGCTTAAACAGACAGATTTTGATGGGGATTATTTTATTATGTTAATTAGATTTCCATGGGGGCGCGACCATTGTAGGCCAAGGGGTTAACTGACATTTGTATTTGACATTTTTTATACCATTTTCGGGATGAAATACTGTGTTTGTTAAATTTCTCTTCCTTTTAATGTATAGACCCCTCTTGCATCAGGAGAAGGCAACCACCAAGTGCCTAGCCACTAAGCTCACCAATGCCCTGGTCAGACAGATCAAGGTTAGTCCAACCACATACCCTATGATTATCTGTTTCCAGTGCACACTGGAAAACATGTGGTCTGGTACCTATTAACTTGTTGCATGTTTGCTCCTGGTCAGAAATACCTGCCCCAGATGTCAGAGAAGATAAAGGAGCAGCTGGCGGACGTAAAGATTGCATTGAGTAAAATAGAGTGTGGGCCTCCCCTGGAACCTGCAGAGAAGAGAAAGTACCTCATTCAGGTGAGTCAATTTTTCACCTTTCCATCTTTCAGCTTCGTAAACGGCTTCTTTTCTACAAAATTGCCATACAAATGTATGATGTAAGGTTTGGAAGCCACACTGTTGCACAGTAGTCCAGGTGTGTTATTGTCATGGTTTGGTAAATTGTCAGGAGAATGTCCTTGGAGACAAAGTCTGTTTCTATCACTCCTATAGACAGTAAAGGCATCAACTCTGTTGCACATCCTCTGCCAATTGGATTGGTCAGATTTGCAACACAGCTGTAAGAGTAGAACCACTGTCCAGAAAGACAAATAAAACAGCATCAAAACTTTCTCCACTCTCCCACTTCCTCCACTGTCCTTCCTTAATTTCCCACTGATTATGTTTGTCACCAAGTTAAACAATACTTTGCCTTGACAGCTGATCTTGCAAAAACACTTGGACACACCAGTGTAAGATAGTTCTTGCTTAATATCTGTAGATGACGCAAGGATGGATGGGTCTTGTGGAGCCATCTCATAAAACAGTAATCTAAAAGGACTAAATATGAAACATTTAAACAGGTAGGTGTTATTTTGTTATGTTTCCTTCTTCAGGTCATAACAGAGTTCAATGAGCAGATTACCCAACTGTCCACAGGGGATATTATCGTTGGGGAAAATCTATTTGAGCTCATGCGAAAGGCATTTATAGACTGGATGGAATGTCTGAAATATGACAAATCAAAATGTAGGTACAATTTTGAATAGACAGGATATTGCTCACCAACTAAATATTTATGTTTCCTAATATCCCTAATATTTACTGATATAATTATGATACTACTAATAGTTATGTCATACAATAGTGATTATAATCCATTATATCTCCAATAAATTATTAACATTGTTTTCCTCAATTTAGACAATGAGGAAGTGCAAAAAGTGGTCAATGAATATGACAAGGAACACAGGGGAAGCGAGCTGCCTGGTTTCAGTAACTACAGGGTATTTCAACATGTTGTTCAGAAACTAGTGGCTAAACTTAAGGATCCAGCTATGGCGACACTAGAGAAAATCAGAGGTAAGTGACCAAAAAGCCCTAGGTTTGATGTGATTTTCTAAATGCCCCTTTATTGAACATCATGCATGGGTCTCTACTTCTGTCAAGACAAACATGCCTATTATATTAAGCAGTAAGCACTCAAGAAAGCAAGTATTGGTGAATCACACCCCCATCCACATCGACAGGGCTGAAGTGGGCGGGTCGAGAGCATTAAGTTCCTCGGTGTCCAAATCACTAATGACTTTAAATGGTCCACACAAGCGCACACTTGTTAAGAAGGCAAGACAGCGCCTCTCCCCCTCAGGAGGTTAAAAAAGGTTTGGCATAAGAAGGCAAGACAGCGCCTCTCCCCGTCAGGAGGTTAAAAAAGGTTTGGCATAAGAAGGCAAGACAGCGCCTCTCCCCATCAGGAGGTTAAAAAGGTTTGGCATAAGAAGGCAAGACAGCGCCTCTCCCCCTCAGGAGGTTAAAAAAGGTTTGGCATGGGCCCTCAAATCTTCAAACAGTTCTACAGCTGCACCACTGAGAGCATCTTGACTAGCTGCATCACCGCTTGGTATGGCAACAGCGCCACCCTCCATCGCATGGCGCTACAGAGGGTGGTGCGGATAGCCCAGTACATTGTTGGCGTTGAGCTCCGTGCCATCCAGGACCTCTATAGCAGGCGGTGTGAAAGGAAGGCCCGGAAAATTGTTAAAGACCCCAGCCACCCAAGCCATAGACTGTTCTCTCTGCTTCTGCACGGCAAGCGACTCCTGAACAGGCTCCTGAACAGCTTCTATCCCCAAGCCATAAGACTGCTAAACAGATAACAGAATGGCTACCAGACAATCTGAGTTGACCCCTGTATTTATTTGTATAGTTTCACTGTCTCTATGCACACTCACAGAACTCTACAGACGCACACACACTGTCGCTCCCACACACACACACACACACTCACTTAATTTGCTAAAACACATAATATCCACACACATTTATACTGACTCTAAACACAAACACTCACATGTATTCATCATATACACAGCTGCTACTCTGTTTATCATATACAATCGGGAAAAAAAGTATTTAGTCAGCCACCAATTGTGCAAGTTCTCCCACTTAAAAAGATGAAAGAGGCCTGTAAGTTTCATCATAGGTACACGTCAACTATGACAGACAAAATGAGAGAAAAAAAACCCAGAAAATCACATCGTAGGATTTTTTATGAATTTATTTGCAAATTATGGTGGAAAATAAGTATTTGGTCAATAACAAAAGTTTCTCAATACTTTGTTATATACCCTTTGTTGGCAATGACACAGGTCAAACGTTTTCTGTAAGTCTTCACAAGGTTTTCACACACTGTTGCTGTTATTTTGGCCCATTCCTCCATGTAGATCTCCTCTAGAGCAGTGATGTTTTGGGGCTGTCGCTGGGCAACACGGACTTTCAACTCCCTCCAAAGATTTTCTATGGGGTTGAGATCTGGAGACTGGCTAGGCCACTCCAGGACCTTGAAATGCTTCTTACGAAGCCACTCCTTCGTTGCCCGGGCGGTGTGTTTGGGATCATTGTCATGCTGAAAGACCCAGCCACGTTTCATCTTCAATGCCCTTGCTGATGGAAGGAGGTTTTCACTCAAAATCTCACGATACATGGCCCCATTCATTCTTTCCTTTACACGGATCAGTCATCCTGGTCCCTTTGCAGAAAAACAGCCCCAAAGCATGATGTTTCCACCCCCATGCTTCACAGTAGGTATGGTGTTCTTTGGATGCAACTCAGCATTCTTTGTCCTCCAAACACAACGAGTTGAGTTTTTACCAAAAAGTTATATTTTGATTTCATCTGACCATATGACATTCTCCCAATCCTCTTCTGGATCATCCAAATGCACTCTAGCAAACTTCAGACGGGCCTGGACATGTACTGGCTTAAGCAGGGGGACACGTCTGGCACTGCAGGATTTGAGTCCCTGGCGGTTTAGTGTGTTACTGATGGTAGGCTTTGTTACTTTGGTCCCAGCTCTCTGCAGGTCATTCACTAGGTCCCCCCGTGTGGTTCTGGGATTTTTGCTCACCATTCTTGTGATCATTTTGACCCCACGGGGTGAGCTCGTGAGCCCCAGATCAAGGGAGATTATCAGTGGTATTGTATGTCTTCCATTTCCTAATAATTGCTCCCACAGTTGATTTCTTCAAACCAAGCTGCTTACCTATTGCAGATTCAGTCTTCCCAGCCTGGTGCAGGTCTACAATTTTGTTTCTGGTGTCCTTTGACAGCTCTTTGGTCTTGGCCATAGTGTAGTTTGGAGTGTGACTGTTTGAGTTTGTGGACAGGTGTGTTTTATACTGATAACAAGTTCAAACAGGTGCCATTAATACAGGTAACGAGTGGAGGACAGAGGAGCCTCTTAAAGAAGAAGTTACAGGTCTGTGAGAGCCAGAAATCTTGCTTGTTTGTAGGTGACCAAATACTTATTTTCCACCATAATTTGCAAATAAATTCATTAAAAATCATACAATGTGATTTTCTGGAGAAAAAAAATCTCAATTTGTCTGTCATAGTTGATGTGTACCTATGATGCAACTTACAGGCCTCTCCCATCTTTTTAAGTGGGAGAACTTGCACAATTGGTGGCTGACTAAATACTTTTATTCCCCACTGTATTCTGATGCCTAGTTACCTTACCCCTATACATATCCACCTCTATCACGCCAGTATCCCTGTCACCTTACCCCTATACATATCTACCTCCATCACTCCAGTATCCCTGTCCCCTTACCCCTATACATATCTACCTCCATCACTCCAGTATCCCTGTCCCCTTACCCCTATACATATCTACCTCCATCACTCCAGTATCCCTGTCACCTTACCCCTATACATATCTACCTCTATCACTCCAGTATCCCTGTCACCTTATCCCTATACATATCTACCTCCATCACTCCAGTATCCCTGTCACCTTACCCCTATACATATCTACCTCCATCACTCCAGTATCCCTGTCCCCTTATCCCTATACATATCTACCTCCATCACTCCAGTATCCCTGTCACCTTACCCCTATACATATCTACCTCTATCACTCCAGTATCCCTGTCCCCTTACCCCTATACATATCTACCTCTATCACTCCAGTATCCCTGTCCCCTTACCCCTATACATATCTACCTCCATCACTCCAGTATCCCTGTCCCCTTACCCCTATACATATCTACCTCCATCACTCCAGTATCCCTGTCCCCTTACCCCTATACATATCTACCTCCATCACTCCAGTATCCCTGTCCCCTTACCCCTATACATATCTACCTCTATCACGCCAGTATCCCTGTCACCTTACCCCTATACATATCTACCTCTATCACTCCAGTATCCCTGTCCCCTTACCCCTATACATATCTACCTCCATCACTCCAGTATCCCTGTCCCCTTACCCCTATACATATCTACCTCCATCACTCCAGTATCCCTGTCCCCTTACCCCTATACATATCTACCTCCATCACTCCAGTATCCCTGTCCCCTTACCCCTATACATATCTACTTCTATCACTCCAGTATCCCTGTCCCCTTACCCCTATACATATCTACCTCCATCACTCCAGTATCCCTGTCACCTTACCCCTATACATATCCACCTCCATCACTCCAGTATCCCTGTCCCCTTACCCCTATACATATCTACCTCCATCACTCCAGTATCCCTGCACGTTGTAAATATGGTATTAGAACTGACCCTGGAACTGACCTTGTATGTCGTTTCTTACTTCTCATCTTGAGTTTAGAGCTTGCAAGAAAGACATTTAATTGTACGTGTGCACGTGACATTAAAACTTTAATTGACTAAATAGGATAGTTCACCCAAATGTTTCATACTTCGTGTCCAAATGATCCTAATGTATCTCAAATTGATTGTGTAACTCAATTAAGTTACTTATTGATTATTTGGACATATTCTACACATTCTAATATTGGGACTATTTACTTACTAATTTTGTAATTTGGCTGAACTACCCCTTTAAATAAAAACATTTTGTGGACTCTCTTTACCAAATTCATTTGTTTTTGTTTTTCAGAAATGGTGCAGAAGCAATTTGATCAATTGTCCAGAGAGAGCTTTAAGAATTTTCCTTATCTTCAAAAGTTCTCAACGGTAATTAAAATAGTAAATTGTTAAGCACTCTGAAATGATAATCTTACAATTCTGTATTCTGTGATTTTAGCCTGAATTGGAAATCTTACGAGGTTAGTGGGACTAACAAGAAGGCGGGAAAACATGAGGCAAAGTAGCACTTAAAAATCACAATATTTTTTTAGGAGGAATTCAAATTTACAGGTTGTCCTTTGTAGGATTGTAGCCTGAAATGTTCAAAATAAAACACCACAAGATACTTAGAGCATGTCGAACTTAACTTTTATCTGAAATATTAACAGTATTATACTGCCTCTCTGCATCCAAGGTTCTTTATGTGCTCATGATATCTTAATCTTTGTATAAACTCATAGATGAACATTGAAAGAATCCAGGAAGATCAGTCAAAAATAGTGAAGGAGAGGATCAAGGAGCAGTTTGAGATGGAGATGCAGGTCTACACACAGGATGAAATCTTCAACAAGTATAATCTTGAGGAGGGGGAAACAACAGACGACTCAGACGAGGAAACAACAGACAACTCAGAGCACGACACCAGGAGCAAGTACCCTGGGCTGCTCAAGTCATACTATGAGGTACAATGCAACACAAGTACCCAGGGCTGCTCAAGTCATACTATGAGGTACAATGCAACACAAGTACTGTAAAGTATTTTTACTTAAAGAGAGTAGGAGGAGAAGTTCCAGAAATAAAATGTAATTAACTAAAACCTGACATACAGCGGGCAGGTTATGTACAGCGCGCAGGTTATGTACAGCGGGCAGGTTATGTACAGATGGCAGGTTATGTACAGCTGGCAGGTTATGTACAGCTGGCAGGTTATGTACAGCTGGCAGGTTATGTACAGTGCCTTGCAAAAGTATTCATCCCCAGTGTTTTTTTCCTATTTTGTTGCATTACAACCTGTAATTTAAATTGATTTTTATTTGGATTTCATGTAATTGACATACACAAAATAGTCAAAATTGGTGAAGTGAAATGAAACAAATAACTTTTTTCAAGAAATTCGAAAAAATAAATAACGGACAAGAGGTGCGTGCGTATGTATTCACCCCCTTTGCTATGAAGCACGTAAATAAGATCTGGTCTAACCAAACCAATAGTCACATAATTAGTTAAATAAAGTCCACCTGTGTGCAATCTAAGTGTCACAGTATATATACACCTGTTCTGAAAGGCCCCAGAGTCTGTAACACCACTGAGCAAGGGGCACCACCAAGCAAGCGACACCATGAAGACCAAGGAGCTCTCCAAACAGGTCAGGGAAAAAGTTGCGGAGAAGTACAGATAAGGGTTGGGTTATTTAAAAAATATCCGAAACTTTGAGCATCCGACGGAGCACCATTAAAAATCCATTATTCAAAAATTGAAAGAATATGGCACCACAACAAACCTGCCAAGAGAGGGCCGACAATCAAAACTCACGGACCAGGCAGGGAGGGCATTAAACAGAGAGGCAACAAAGAGATTAAAGATACCCAGCTGCAAAGCTCCACAGCGGAGATTGGAGTATCTGTCCATAGGACCACTTTAAGCAGTACACTCCACAGACCTGGGCTTTACGGAAGAGTGGCCAGAAAAAAGCCATTGCTTAAAGAAAGAAATAAGCAAACACGTTTGGTGTTCACCAAAAGGCATGTGGGAGACTTCCCAAACATATGGAAGAAAGTATTCTTGTCAGATGAGACTAAAATTGAGCTTTTCGGTCATCAAGGAAAACGTTATGTCTGGTGCAAACCCAACACCTCTCATCACCCCGAGAACACCATCCCCACAGTGAAGCATGGTGGTGGCAGCATCATGCTGTGGGGATGTTTTTTCATCGACAGGGACTGGAAAACTGGTCAGAATTGAAGGAATGATGGATGGCGCTAAAAACAGGGAAACCTCTTGAGGGAAACCTGTTTCAGTCTTCCAGAGATTTGAGACTGGGACAGAGGTTCACCTTCCAGCAGGACAATGACCCTAAGCATTCTGCTAAAGCAACACTCGAGTGGTTTAAGGGGAAACATTTAAGTGTCTTGGAATGGCCTAGTCAAAGCCCAGACCTCAATCCAATTGAGAATCTGTGGTACGACTTAAAGATTGCTGTACACCAGCGGAACCCATCCAACTTGAAGGAGCTGGAGCAGTTTTGCCTTTAAGAATGGGCAAACATCCCAGTGGCTAGATGTGCCAAGCTTATAGAGACATAAACCAAGAGTCTTGCAGCTGTGATTGCTGCAAAAGGTGGCTCTACAAAGTATTGACTTTCGTGGGGTGAATAGTTACGCACGCTCAAGTTCTGTTTTTTTGTCTAATTTATTTTTTTGTTTCATAATAACAAATATTTTGCATCTTCAAAGTGGTAGGCATGTTGTGTAAATCAAATGATACAAACCCCACAAAAATCAATTTTTATTCCAGGTTGTAAGGCAACAAAATAGGAAAAATGCCAATGGGGATGAATACTTTCGCAAGCCAATGTAGCGTACTTATCGACAAACTTTCTCATCAGGGTCTTCCACAAATTTGGGGAGATCTCAACGTGTATGTATGGACTACAGCTAGCTCTGGTACCCCAGAGACAGATTAGAGATTGGACACTGAGGTTTCTGCATCAAATCAAATCTATTGTATTCATCACATACACAGTTTACAGCTGGTATAAAAGGTGCAGCGAAATGCTTATGTGCTAGCTCCCTCAACAATGCAGTACCGTGCTGATATACCGTGTGTTATAGGGAAATAATGCACGCTCTAGAATGCCCTTCAAGCCAATCAGAAATTATTATTCAACAATGCCATGGTATATTCAATAATAACATTATGATGTATTTACATTACACAGTATAATAAAAAATGTCCATATGGCAGCCATGTTTACTCCCGATGGGCAATATTGACCAATAGCTGTGTAACTGAAAGTCTACAATTAGAATTTGAATCCACATACTTGTCATGAATGGATAAATAGAATGTTCAATGGCGTCCGTTCTAAAAGTTAGCCCAACTCTCTATGTACAGTATATAGCTCTGCTCCAGCCTGTACAACTAATCCTTGACATCATCAATGGGCATGATCAGATCTCTCATGAATGCTTTTTTGACAAATCTTTCAAACATGAATTGTTGTGGCAGGGTTGCTTTATGGTATATTGCATTTTGCGTACCAATCCAACTCTGAAGTCTATATGTTCACCTTGCTGAACCTTGGTTGCCGTTTGGCAATATTTTGATTGCCTTGTGGCCAACTCATCACTTCGGGACCTCACGCTCCCTCCCACCTCACCTCTCTCACCTCTTTCACCTCTCTCACCTCTCTCACAGATTGTGGTGCAAAGACTGGCTGACCAGGTGCCCATGCTGATCCGTTACTTCATCCTCAAGCAGTCAGCCAAGATTGTGTGCAGTGAAATGCTGGATCTGCTGCACAGAGACAACACTGATGACGTCCTACAGGAGGACTTGGAGATCGGACACTATCGTGCAAAGTTGCAGGCCCAAGCGGACCGCCTTTTACTGGCCAATGACAAAGTCAGCAGCCTCTGAGAGGGTGACGCCTAGACAGTTACAAAATTCAGAGATGTTGCCAAAAAAAGAAACAGTTTAATTAACTGCTGGATCAGTGTCCCAAAATCGGGACAGTTGCTGCTCAATATGCAATATTTGACTAGAATGTTGTTGTTAACAACAGCCAACTTTCTGGGACATAGACATGTCTTGTATCGTCAGAAAGCTTAAATTATTGTTAATCTAACTGCTGTGTCCAATTTACAATAGCTATTACAGTGGGAACAATTTAATTCGTTTTAGAAAAGGCTGTAACGCAGGGTTCTTCAATTCCGGACCTGGAGGGCCGAAACAATTCTGTTTTTTATTTCTACCTGGTAGTTAATTGCACTCACCTGGTGTCCCAGGTCTGAATTAGCCCCTGATTAGAAGGAGAGGATTAAAAACAGAGGTGTTTCGGCCCTCCAGGACCGGAATTGAAGAACCCTGCTGTAACGTAACAAATTCAAGGGGGTCTCAATACTTTCCGAATGCATTCGGACTGTATTATAAGTGTGTCAATAATATAAATACCTGAGAAAACTGTAAATCTACACTGAGCTGTATAGGTGTGTATTCTGGGGCCAATCTAAGAAAAGGCTTCATTTGAATCCAGCTATCTCTATACCTATTATCAGAGGGAGGGGGACCTCTATCCATGATCTTGACCAGATAGACAGATCACCTGCAGATGATGGAGAACCTTATAACTCTCCAGAGCTGTAACCAGGGTTTGAGTTTTACTGAGGTCTGGAAGGACATTGATTTACGGCATTTCTATTCAATAAAAACACATTCAAATGCTATTTGTAGAACAGCAAAAACAAGCAAAAATGACCCCAGCCATTATGACCGTGGCTGCTGTAGGTTCATTCACCTCAGTCCATCTACAAACACCTAGCCTATTAGCTATACAATTGTAATGATATACTCCTGAAAGGGGGAAATCTGATGAATTATTCACACTGATATGTAGGATCAGCGACGAAACGAAAACGTAGGACATTTTTACAACTGTATTCTTTGCATTTTGATTGCATTTTAATGACGGCCTACAGGGAAGATAGGACCTGTGGAGATGTTCATATCGAAACATATCTTCTTTTTTTTATTTTAAATTTGATAAGATTAGTACAGATTTTCTCAGGGGACCCTAAATGGGCACCGATCCCAAGTTTGGGAACCACTGTACTAACCACTCCCTCTGCTTGCTTACTTACTCTCTCTGTCTCCTCTGCTTCCTCCTCTATATATTGCAGCCTGCCTCAGCCTCACCACTGAGCACCACATAACTGTCTGTCTCAGTAGCCTACGCTCTGTAAAGCAGTAGTTAATATATGTCACACCCTGGCTCTGGGACTCATTATGTTGAGCCAGGGTGTGTGCAGTCTATGTGTTCATGTTCTATGTTGGGTGTCTAGGTTGTCGATTTCTATGTTTGGTCAATGACTCCCAATCGGAGGTAACGAGTGTCAGCTGTCGGCTCGTTATCTCTGATTGGGAGCCATATTTATACTGTGTGTTTTCACCTTGGGGTTGTGGGTTTTTGTTCCTTTACGGTCTTTGTAACTGTGGACTTCATGTATCGTTTATTGTTTTGGCACTGTAGTATAATAAAGTCATCATGTTCGCTCAACACGCTGCGTATTGGTCTGCTCCTTTTGAAGACGATCGTGACTATATGAGAGCTTGGTAGCGTATTCTTTGCTCCATTTTAACGTTAACTTCTTACTTCATCCTTCTAGCTGGCTAAGTAATACTAGCCAGAGCCCTTCAACGTTACTGCAATAGATTTCTCTGCCGGCAGCTAGCCACCTGACTGACTGGCATATCTACAATATAAGCGACGATTTACCAGTTGTCTGTTCATTCTTCAAGAGTAGTTTTTTCGTTTGTTTGGGGGATGTCTGTAGACACGGCAGGAGTCGCGGGACGATTTTAAAATGCCGTTTTGTCCGGCATCTCGCAAACACAGTGGACAGTTTGTTTGACGTTTCACCCGTTTGAGAGAGTGGTGAACGTGCTGTTAAAAAGCAAAACCAGGAGGCAATCCAGGAGGCGAGCAAACATAATGAAATAACTACTGTTCGTGATTCCACTTGTTCGCAAAAAGGCAGGCACTAATAGAACTCAGACAGATCAAGAATATAAGCGTTCTGAGCTTTGATCAAAGCTGGGAGCAATAGCCTATTTAGACGTTGACCCGTAATTAATTGTCTTTATTGTGAACAAAATATAGATATTTGTATTATTATTATTTTCAAATTAGAAAGAGTCTCAGAGGTCTTGACGTCGGTGTCGTCATATGTAGTTACGGCCATGATACTCGACTATTTTACAACCGGTTATAACTGGTATGACAATGTACAAAATACAAATTACCTTACATATATATTCTTAGTTGCAGTCAAAACAGCTCAGGTGGTGTGAATACTCGGTAGAACTGTAATACAGAAACCAGCTATCTTCTGAATGTACACATAGTGCTATAAATATGTCTATTCTTCGAAAAAATAGTTATTCTACGGGAAGAAGGCAAATGTCTCCCCATGTTCCTAATAATTAGTGTTATGGTGGCTCTGCAACTAGCGAGCCACTCTGATAGAACAAATATAGCCTTTGAGGACTATCATGTACACTTCAAGCACTCAATATTACAGTGGCTTGCGAAAGTATTCACCCCTCTTGGCATTTTTCTTTTTTTGTTGCCTTACAACCTGGAATTAAAAAATATTTTTGGGGGGGTTGGAAACATTTGATTTACACAACATGCCTACCAATTTGAAGATGCAAAATATTTGTTATTGTGAAACAAACAAGAAATAAAACAAAAAAAAAACAGAAAATTTGAGCGTGCATAGCTATTCACCCCTCCAAAGTCAATACTTTGTAGAGACACCTTTTGCAGCAATTACAGCTGCAAGTGTCTTGGGGTATGTCTCTATAAGCTTGGCACATGTAGCCACTGGGATTTTTGTCCATTCTTCAAGGCGAAACTGCTCCAGCTCTTTCAAGTTGGATGGGTTCTGCTGGTGTACAGCAATCTTTATGTAATACCACAGATCCTCAATTACATTGAGGTCTGGGCTTTGACTAGGCCATTCCAAGACATTTAAATGTTTCCCCTTAAAACACTCGAGTGTTACTTTAGCAGTAAGCTTAGGGTCATTGTTCTGCTGGAAGGTGAACCTCGGTCCCAAACTCAAATCTCTGAAAGACTGAAACAGGTTTTCTTCAAGAATTTCCCAGGATTTAGCGCCATCCATCATTCCTTCAAATCTGACCAGTTTCCCAGTCCCTGCCAATGAAAAACATCCCCACAGCGTGATGCTGCCACCACCATGCTTCACTGTGGGGATGGTGTTCTCGGGGGGAAGAGAGTTGTTGGGTTTGCGCCAGATATAGCGTTTTCCTTCCTTTTCTGGCCACTCTTCTGTAAAGCGCAGCTCTGTGGAGTGTACGGCTTAAAGTTGTCCCATGGACAGATACTCCAATCTCCCCTGTGGAGCTTTGCAGCTCCTTCAGGGTTATCTTTGGTCTCTTTGTTGCCTCTCTGATTAATGCCCTCCTTGCCTGGTCTGTGAGTTTTGGTGGGCAGCCCTCTCTTGGCAGGTTTGTTGTGTTGCCATATTCTTTTCATTTTTTTAATAATGGAGCTCTGTGGGATGTTCAAAGTTTCAGATATTTTTTGATAACCCATCCCTGATCTGCACTTCTCCACAACTTTGTCCCTGACCTGTTTGGAGATGTCCTTGGTCTTCAGGGTGCTGCTTGCTTGGTGGTGCCCCTTGCTTGGTGGTGCCCCTTGCTCAGTGGTGCCCCTTGCTCAGTGGTGTTGCAGACTCTGGGGCCTTTCAGAACAGGTGTATATGCATTTACGTTTTAGTCATTTAGCAGATGCTCTTATCCAGAGCGACTTACAGTTAGTGAGTGCATACATTTTCATACTGGCCCCCCATGGGAATCGAAGCCACAACCCTGGCGTTGCAAACGCCATGCTCTACCAACTGAGCTACACAGGACCTATATATATACTGAGATCATGTGACAGATCATGTGACACTTAGATTGCACACAGGTGGACTTTATTTAACTATTTATGTGACTTCTTAAGGTAATTGGTTGCACCAGATCTTATTTAGGGGCTTCATTGCAAAAGGGGTGAATGCATATGCACGCCCCACTTTTCCAATATTTATTTTTTTCAGTTCACTTCACCAATTTGGTCTATTTTGTGTATGTCCATTACATGAAATCCATTTAAATTACAGGTTCTAATGCAACAAAAAAGGAAAAACGCCAAGGGGGATGAAAACTATTGCAAGGCACTGTAGCCATCATGTGTGATGTGTGTACCTGCTCCCGCTAGTATGGTAGTATAGAAATGCAATGGGATTGTGTTGCCCTCTGGTGGTTGAGTTAAGTAAGTGTGGTGGAGGAGCAGAGATGAATTGAGTGAATGAGTTTTGTATGAGTTGTGTCTCCTACTGTATGTTATAGAGGAGATTGTGTGAACGCGCTGAAGATTTGGATTAGGTTTTTCCTCTCAGTTATTGCTGGATCAAACTTTCCTTTCGTTAGGTTGTTGTTGTTGTTTTGTCATATTATTCTAACAATTATTTTCACCATATGTGTATCATTTTTGATCCTGTATCTGTGTAGTCATGTTTATTATTTCATATTATGGATAATTACGATTATTTTGTAGTATTTCTTCTTATAACGTTTTGTACTAGGTATATAATATACTTCAACAGTTACCAGATATTGACCTAGATAAAATATATATATATATATATATACACATGTTTACATGAGAACACTTAATTTTCATGGTACTATCACACACTATAAATTAAACATATTGGGTCAATTGCAACCACTGATGGCCACTAGATTATCGCCAACTGGTCACTCATTAAACCATCAATACCAGCAAAATCACGCTCATAGTTGATTTCAATAGCAACCATCATTTATTATTTTATATTAAATTATGTTCTTTTATGTTATTTTGCCATTTAAGGTGAAGCGTTTGTATGAAATATAGGCTATTTCTATATTGTAAATGTAAATTCGTTAGCCTTGGTTGTACTAATGAAATATGTGACAGAATGAAATAAAGGTTGTATCAGTTTTCTGATTGTTCAGAGCGCATCAATGTAGAGAAACACTTTAGGATTGATACCAGACAGCTGGTCCAA